TTTGTCTCTATGTATCTTGATCTCATCTTTTATTTCTTCTTTGACTAAGTCATTTTTTAGTAGTATGTTGTTTAATCTCCATGTATTTGTAGGTTTCTTTACTTCCTTTTTGCAGTTGATTTCTAATTTCAAGGCATCATGGTCAGAGAATATGCTTGGTATAATTTCAATCTTCTTGAATTTGTTGATGCTAGTTTTGTGACCCAACATATGGTCTATCCTTGAGAATGTTTCATGTGCATTGGAGAAAAATGTACAATTCTGGGATGAAAGGTTCTGTAAATGTCAGTTATGTCTACTTGGTCTAGTGTTTCATTTAAGGCTGATATTTCTTTATTGATTTTTCTGTTTGGTTGATCTGTTTAGAGCTGTCAATGAAGTATTAAAACCCCAATAAGATTGAGTTCTGATTTGTTTCTCCCTTCTGTGAGTAGTTGCTTTATATTGGGTGGGTGTATATATATTAAGAAGTGTTATGTTTTCTCGATGTAGTGTTCCCTGTATCATTGTAGTGTCCACCTCTGTCTCTTATCTTGAAATCTGTTTTGTTGGATGTAATTATGGCTTTACTTGCTTTTCTGTGGGTGTTATTTGCTTGGAGAATCATTTTCCACCCTTTTACTTTGAATCTACCTTTGTCTTTGAAGCTTAGATGTGTCTCTTGTAAGCAACATATGGCTGGATTTTGTTTTTTGACCCATTCTGCTACACTGTGCCTCATTATTGGTGAATTCAGAACATTTACATTTAGGGTAATTATTGATGTATGAGGATTTCCTATAGCTATTTTATCTTTTGTTTTCTGGTATCTCTGTGCCTCCATTGCTTCTTTTCCTTTCTATTTCTGTCTGTTGTTTTTGTTTGGTGGTATTTCATACTCCTTTTCTCCGTTTCCTCTTTTTGTAAAAAAATATATTTTTATTGATTTCGGAGAGGAAGGAGAGGGAGATAGAAATATCAATGATGAGAGGGTTTGGGAAGTTCTCATCCACTATTTGTTTGAAGAGGCTCTCTGTTCCCTTCTCTATCTCTTCTTCTTCTGGTATCCTATTATTTCCTGGTGGAGTCAAATGCTTCTCATAAAGCTCTTTCACTTTTTCTTATACTCAGGTCTCTCTCTTCTTCTCTCTGCATCATTTCTAGATTCCTATCTTTAATATCACTAATTCTTACCTCCTTCTGGTTGGCTCTATTTTCTATGCTCAATAGTTTATGCCTAATCTCCTTAATTGCATACTTCATTACCAGGATTTCGGATTGGTTCTTTTTAAAAGTTTCAATCTCTTTGGGTAAGAACTTATTTTGTTCATTAATTTGTTTTCTGAGAGTATTGAATTGTCTGCCTGTATTTTCTCACATCTCATTATGTATTTTCAGAACTCAATATTAAAATCTCTGTAATTTATATCCCATATTTCCATGTGTTCCAGCTTGCTTTCTTTGTTTTCTTTCTGAGCATCCTCATTACCATGGTTATTCATGGTATTTGCTGGTCTCATTTGTCTAGATATGTATGTATGTCTATATTAATGGCCCCTCTCTAGCAGATTTTTCTGAAGAGGTCTTTCTACTCTTTTCAAATAGATGGCGCTGAATCACAAGATTTTTACCTCTGTGATCTCCTAAACTTGACCTCCACAGTAAGTCAAGTGCTGCTTGGGGCTTGGTTTGTTTTTTCATCATCATAATGGTGACCCTGGACCTCCCTCCCCTCAACCCCCCTAAAGCCTCACTTGGGTATCAATCACAGAGGGAAACAGTGGTTCTGCTGCAATAACTCTTAGCTTACAGATAATGTGCTCCTTGACCCGACACCAAGAGCAATGGGAAACAAGTTTTGGACAAGAGGCAGCAGGGCTCTGTAATTCTGTTTCTTTGTCTGAAACTCCACTGACAGTGGACAGCCATGGGGAAGAACCCACATACTCCTGTCAGGAGTCTGTTAGCTCAGTCACTGTCTGCTCCTTTGTCCTGCCTGACTGCCCCCTGCAGCTCTCCGTTCCTCCTGGCCAAAGGAAGCACCTGCTATCACTGGCTTCCTCCCCTCTCTGGGCCGAGCCACGAGCTCCCAGCTGCAGGGCTGCATCTGCAACCATCTGACCTTTCCTCTTTTCTTGTCTCCCCACTCATTCTTATTGCCCACCTTTATATGCTTCCATGTGCGGGTCTCTGAAGCATGCCTCTGTATTGAGTAGGGGATTCTTTGTTGAATTATAGTTGGTTAATTTGTCGAAATTTCAGGAGTGGTCAAAAGGATGTCTCATGCTTGCCATTCCTCTGATGTCACTCCTTACATTTGTATTTATTTAATGAATGCACAATGTCTCTTTGTCATTATATTTTGCATTAAATTCTATTCTACTTGTACTGTTACTCCATCCTTGTTCTGGTTCATATTAGCCTATTATATCTAATTCCATCCTTTTATTTAAATTTTCCTGTTCTTATTTAAGTATGTCTCTTGTAAACAATCTTTAATACAATCCAAAAATCTGTCTTTTAACTTAATCCATTTAATTTTTTAAACCAGTGTTACACCAGAATTTCTGCCATCTTATTTTCCATTTACTATAATCTTTGTTCCTTTTTCTGCTTCCCACTAGATAAACTGAATTCGTCTGATTTGTTTTACATTTTCTTTCTTATAGTGGTTTTTATAATTAACTATATTCATGTTTGTTTAATCTCTGTAACTTCCTCTTAACCACAAATATATGTCTTTATTGATTTTAGAGAAAGAGGAAGGGAGAAACATCCATGTGAAACTTTAATCAGTTTGCCTCCTGACTGGGGATTGAATTCGCAACCTAGGTATGTGCCCTGACCAGAAATTGAACCCACAACCTTTTGGTGTACAGGACAATGCTCCAACCAAGCCACCCAGCCAGGGCCAGAGAGGCACTTTAGCTGTCTTATGTCTTAGTCTTTATCTCCAACTCTAGTCTGTGCATGAAAAAGGGGTTCTATGGAAAGTAACCTCACAGGGTAATCTGATCATAAATTCCTAGCTGGGTAGGTCATGATAGGTAGTCATGCCCCAGGCATATAACTTAGTGAAAGGTTTTAAGCCAGCCCTGCCCATTATTTTTGTGCATCTAGTTGAACACACCTTTGAAATACCAGAATACTCCTAGATGGGGGTATTAACCCTCAAGAGAACACTTAATGTTAACTATCATGTAATCTGATCCCTGCCTTGCTTTCCCCCACTTCCATGTAATCTTCCTTAAATTCCCTCAATTTCAAATGTATAAACACTGCAAAATTGTTATTCTCTGGAGCATTTGAGATCTTGCTTCCTACCATATGTCATCAGCTTGGCTCAAATAAACACATAAAAATTCTCTTACAGGTTTTGGTATCTCTTACGTTAACAAATCTTAATGATAATGCCTAGAGTTTTAATTGCTGTAATAAAGTTTCTCTTTAAGATAACAACTTTGCAAAAATATTTAATCACTCTTCTTTTCACATCTCTTGTAGCATCTTCCAGATTTTGTATCTTTTAATATTTCTCCTAAAGTATTTTCTTGAGGGCCTTTGTAAGGTAAATCTTCTGAGGTTTGTACACTTAAAAACATTTTCAAATGTTGTCTGTCACATTCTAATGCTAACTTGGCTGGATATAAAATTTTAATGTTTTTTCTTTGATACTTACATTCAATAATGCTTTTGAGAAATCTAATGTCAATTCAATTCATTCCTGAATTATTATCCACATTGATAATACTTTTTCTCTGTAAACTTTTAACTATTCTTTGAAACTTTTAAATTTCACTATAACCAACACTTATCTCTACATTCATATTGTGCTTGAGTTTTCTAAACAGTAATTTTCACTACCTGATATTATATATTGGTTTCTCTCTCCCCCCACCAGAATAAGAACGTAATTTTGTTCGCTATTATGTGTCATACCTCGAACACTATCTGAAACAAAATTAGGGGCTCAATAACTACAGATTGAATTGTGGTTCTCTATTCTCTAGGCTTTGCACATTAAATTCATTCCTCAAAAAACAAAAACAAAATCTGAAGCCAAATTCTTAAATTATCACACTATGCCTTGAATCTTCGTGGTTTTTTTCCTATCTGTTCTGATAAACTTGGCAGGATCAAACAGGACAAAGAACTTTTTGCTTTTCTCTTGAGACAAGAGACTTTTTTAAGTAACTGGTTTTAAGATGTCTCTCCTTTAGGCTTATGTTTATTCTTTAGCTTTACATTAAAAGGGCCTCTACAAAATTGGGAATAGGGTGGAGGTAGGGAATGAAAGGACATGATACAACCCTGCCCCCTATCTAAAAAAGATCCCTGACCATATCTCCGGTTTATACTTGAAGTGGGATGAGTATAGGAAGGAGAACAGATATAACCCCTATACACTGACTGATACACTACTGGATTTCACTAATCCCAGTGTCACCCATTATCCTGCCTTCTTCCTTACCTTGAACCAAACTCCTCACATCTCAACTGTATCTGCCTATAACTTTCAGAAACTCTAAATAATTCCAATGGAATACTTTTTATTTTTTTAAAAATATATTTTATTGATTTTTTTACAGAGAGGAAGGGAGAGGGATAGAGTAGAAACATCTACTGGGGATGTGCCCGCAACCAAGTTACATGCCCTTGACTGGAATCGAACCTAGACCCTTCAGTCCGCAGGCCGATGCTCTATCCACTGAGCCAAACCAGTCAGGGCCCAATGGAATACTTTTTAAAAGACCACAGCTGAAAGCACAATTCCATCTTTTATGTTGAAAGTAACATATCAAATTACACATTTGCCAAGATATTTAGTGACAGAGATTGCCTACTTCTTAAAGGATTAAAACATTAAAAAGAAAACAGTCTGATGTGGCACCAGAATATATTGGTAGGTGATTTTATAAACTGGTAAAAATTAAGATGATGAAAAGTTTTTACGCTCTCAAAGAAAAAATATTTTGCAAAAATATTTTGATTGTGTGAAGCAGTAACACAACACCAATAAGCAGCTCTGTACAAAATAATTTATTACAGCTTTATATAGGTTGACATTGTTTTACAGTAAGTGTTTTTCTCTCAATAATTATGAATCTAAAATAGCTTAGAGTGAAAGAAAATCATATTAATTAGAACTATTTCTCTAAATAAAATCTCCCTTTTGAATTTATATTTGCCTTAAAGGGAAGTATCCATATTACAGACATATTTACACAGTTCTGCAAGAAACATATTGAATGATTCCACTACCGTTTTCTATACAAGAAGGAAATAGCTATCCTCCACAAAAATTGCCTGACAATACTGTTTTAATAATTAAACTAATAGATTAAATTCCCATTCTGCTGATATAAAAACATATTTAGTAGTCTATGTATGACTACAAGAGTAAAGATGCTTCATTATAATTTGTATTCTGCTCTATTATGCTTCCTTGAGGCATATGCCACTCAGATATAAACTATTTATTAATACACAAAGCAATTTAGCCAAGAAAGCATAATTCTTGCTTGTGGGACTTTTAAGACTGACCTAGAGATACACAATAAATTTATCAGTGAATTTCAGTGATTAAGAGGCAAACCAATCCCCACATTCTGAATCAAAAGAAATTTTCATTTTCATGTATATTAAAAAATAATAAATCAGGAAAAAATTAAGAGAAAAAAAAAGGGCAAACTGAAGTAAATTTTAAACTAAACCTCAATATCTGACAAAAGAAGTTCCATATTGTTTTTAACATACATATAGTTACCACTTTAAAACTGATGTGTTTTCATTAAAAAGTAAGCAAAAAAACAATAAGACAAATCAATAAAGGATCAAACCATAGAGTCTAAAACCAGGATCTAAAAAAAATAAGAGTGAGACCGTATACACCTTAGTTTAAAATGTAATTATCATATTTATGATAAAGAAGTGACAGCACCATCATAATGCTGATAATTCTAAAGTTTAAGAAAACTGTACAAGTATAAACAGGTCATTTTAACAGATGCTTATGTATACTGGCAGAGTCAGATAAAAAATAGAATAAGCTTACAGAATACTCCATTGAAAAAAACTATCCAATTATTTCACTTCATATCTATATTAAAATACACCCTGAAAAGAACCCTGATCTGAAGTCAGCTTTGAATCTATAGGAGCCAATTTTCTATGGGATTTCAAATTTCATTTGCCAAGACATCATAGTTGGCCATATGGTTTAGTGCCACACTTTGACTGCTGACCTCATTCACAGCAGGCAGGAAAGCAGACGTGAAAGGGAGCAGGCTGTGACAGGCCATCCTGTATTCTTCATATTGGGAATTACAGTTCCCAAAGCTTCCATCAAGCAGTGCCTCAGAAACCTTTATTAAAATCTATTGAAACAAAGGGAAATAAAAAAAATTACATTTGATTATTAATCACTTAAATCAAAAGATGCAATCTGTTCATTAACCAAGAGAAGGCCAACAAGCCCTAGTCTAAAATAACTTCTTGCTATCTATATACTAAGTAATCATCTCAAAAAAGGAACATTTTAAAAATCAATTCTGTAAAGCCTTAAAAAAGCAATAAAATTCTAATACTTGAAAAAGTGAATCCCTGAAACTGTGATCACTAAAATAAAAGTGTCCTTTATTAATAACAATAGCTCCCACATATTAAGTGATTACTATGTGCCAGGCAGGTAGTAAATGAAGTATGGTAGCAACCATCAGGTAGAAACTGTAGTTTAACTCTAACCCTGCTGTTTGGCTTAACAATAGAAAAGTTACTTTGGTTTTCTGAATTGTATAAATCATCCCATTTGATTGAATGACTATCCCATTGATTGTTATCTTACTGGTTATCGAAGCGCATTCTTCTGTACCTGGGAAACAGGACAGCACAATTACCCTAAATTGTTTTAGTGGCCACAGGTGGTGCGTTCTAGCTGACTTAGTGGTCCTGAGACCAGAACAGCACAATTACTCTAAATTGCCCTGACAACTCAGTGGTCAGGAGACCTGAGGGCTCTAGATAATGTATTTCTGTCAATTCAGTGACCCAGAGACCCGAAACTGTAATTAACATGCTTAATTCTGCTTCTGTAATCTGCGTTTTTGCGAGCCAGGTGCCTCATTCCAAACCCTGAGATGTAATCAATACCTTTGTGATTTTTTGCCTATATAACCCTGAAACTGTGACCAAATGACTACTATGAGATTTGGGAATGGCCCCTCATAGTCCCGGATTGCAATAAATGTGACTCTTTAATTCGATTTCTGTGATTCGCGGGGTACATTACAACATAAGTACTTCAGTTTATTACTTCAGTAAACCCTTATACCAATTCTATGCTGCAGCATTTTCATCCTCATCTTCTACATGAGAAAAAGGAAGCTAAGAGATGTAACTTGCCTAATGTGATATAGCTCTTAATTAGAACTGGTATTCAAATCAAGGCATAAGTCAGAAGGCCCACTCAAGAATTAAGTTGTAAAGGCATGTTTTGTTAGATCACTCAGTATCCAGTTATGGGAGGTATTAATCATGCTGTTAACCATGATTGCCTTGTGTTGGTTAAAGAGAGGACATTCTGACCAGGGTGGAAGTTGTGTGCCCCAGGCCCTGGGAGTCAACCTTGGACCAGGAAGTCAACCTTGGACCTGGGGAACGACCTTGGAACCATTCTCATTCAAGAACTGCCTATGGGAAGATTAACCACCTTGTTGCCCAAACAATGGAGTCCCACCCCAGCCTCCTACTTCCCCATGCCTGTAATCCTTACTTCCCCAAGCAATCCTTGTCCTACCCTATATAAGCAGCTGGCTTATGGGGGTGCTGCAGAGCAGATTTTTGTAGATGACCTGGTGCTCTCCCATACTGTCAACAGTATTGGAATAAATGCTCATATGTGATTTTTTAAAAAATGGGGGGAAGTGAGTGTGAAAAATCTTACTTTTACATTTTTATCTTTTATAGTTTCATCCAGTCTAGTGGCAATGGCGATTGCTTTCTCTTGCCTTGACTTGTCCAGAAAATACATCATTTTAGCACCTGAAATACCAAGACATTTCAAAATGAGTAAACTTCTATGGATGGCTAACATTTGATTTAATTTACATTAACCAATGGCTTCAAATATAGTATTTAATTAGCAGTGGGCTGGAACTGGCTCCCACAGCTCTCAGGAGGCAATTGTGCCATTGCTTCCCACGTCCCATTCAGTGACATTCCACTCATAGTTGGGGACACAGAGATGGTTGCTAAACATTTACCAGGAGACCAGATTTAATATCCCCCCCCTCCCCCCCAAAAAAATGATCCAACTCAAAATATAAACACAGGCTACCCTGTGACATCAATCAATCATTTTTAAAAAATTATATCCTCAGATAAAACATCTAAGAAACAAATTATTATCAAAGGACTGTGGTTGAGGGACAATAGGAAAATGTTTCCATATTCACAAAGAAAATAATTTTTAAAGCTTTCAAAAAATAAAACCCAGTTTATATTTCTCCAATAAATTACATGGTCCATATTCTATGTTCATTTTACTATTTGATTTTTAAAAATATATTTTTTATTGATTTCAGAGAGGAAGGGAGAGGGAGAGAGAGTTAGAATTGGCTGCCTCCTGCTCACCCACTACTGGGGATCGAGCCCGCAACCCGAGCATATGCTGTGCCCTTGACCAGAATCGAACCAGGGACCCTTTGGTCCACAGGCTGACGCTCTACCCATTGAGCCAAACCAGCTAGGGCTACTTTTGGATTTTGTTTATTAATTTATATTGTTAACTGTTAATTTATAAGAGCTCAACATATATTAGCTTTTTATCAGTTATATATCCATGAATATTTTTTGGTCTTTTGAATTTATGGTGTTTTTATTTTTATATGGCAAAAATTATCTTCTCTTTAGAATTTCATATGTTTGGAAAGGCACTTCCCATAGTTATAATAAAGAAATGTTTTCTTCCATTACCCTTTTTTTTAAAGAGAAATTCTCATCTGCCCTTACTACCAAGAAGTGTAATTTCTCACATGAATTAACTTTTTTCCCATAGATATTAAAACCAAGAAGTTTCCCTTTGCAACAACAAAAAAGCTTAGGTTAAAGTATTTAAATACAGTATATGGCTTAAATTAGGAGTTCATTATATATACTTCATTTTGTCACCAATTCCCTTTCCACAATCTTTTGTTCAGTTTGCATTTATGCCATCTTGTATTTTATAAATTTATATAAATTGCCTAAATTCTCTCCTGTAATAAGGCAGAATATAAGTAAATTCTCAAAATGCAAAATACATAAAGTAATAAAAATACAAGAAAAAAAATCACAGATAATCACAACACCCAAAGGCAACCATTCATTAAAGGTTTGGTATACACTTTTTGTAGCCTTTATCCCATGTATATTATTACATAGCTGAGATTATATTGTTAATTCTGCATACATATTAAAACATATTTACCCTTGTTATAGCTTTTTAGAAATAACATCATTTTATACCATTACCTGCTAGTCTATCCTACAAACCTGCTACATCTCCCTATTACTGGACATACTGGACATACACTAATCTGTTACCATTGTTTTCCCCATACTTTCACACATTTCAGTTAACATCTTTGCTCTTAAAACTCCTTTTTTTGCTTTGGAATAATTATTTAAAATTATTCACAAAAGTATGACTACAGCAAAAGATACAGGTAATGTGAAGTTCTCGATAAGAATGATTAAGTTGATTTCTTACATGGCTGCGGCAATTTACACTGTAGCAGCAAACTATAAGAGTGCTTGTTAACTACATCTTTACTAAACTTTAATCTTTTCCAAACACATAAAAACTTTCTTAATTTGAAAGATCCAAAGTGCTATTGTGTTTATTTTTGTTTGTTGTTTTTCATTAAATCTTTATTGTTCAAAGTATTACATAGGTCCTCCTTTTTCCCTCATTAACCTCTTCCAGCCCACTCCCATCCCCCCCACCACCCCATTATCTGTGTCCACGGGTTATGCATATATGCACACAAGTTCATTGGTTCATCTCTTCCCACCCACCCTCCTGTCTTCCCTCTGAGGTTCAATAGTCTGTTCATGCTTCTATGTCTCAGAGTCTATTTTTGATCATCAGTTTATTTTGTTCATTAGATTCCACATATGAGTGAGATCATAGGATACTTATCTTCCTCTGACTGGCTTATTTCACTCAACATAATATTCTCCAGGTCCATCCATGCTGTTGCAAATGGTAAAAGTTTTTTTTTTATTGCTGCGTAGTACTCCATTATGTAGATGTACCAGTTTTTTTATCCACTCATCTGCTGATGGGCACTTAAGCTTTTTCTAAATCTTAGCTATCGTAAACTGCGCTGCTATGAACATAGGGGTGCATATATTCTTTCTGATGAGTGTTTCGGGTTTCTTGGGATATATTCCTAAATGTGG